GGGTTTTGTTTTACTCTTGAGTGAATCGTCTTCCCAGGTGAAATTCCAGCGCGTTCGAGGCCGGGAAGGCAGCTCTCCCGCCCGGCCGGGTGGCCACGTCACTGCCACCTCTCTCCCCAGTTAACCTTTGCAGGTCCTGGGTGCAAAGCTGAGCGTCTGTCACTGTGAAGTTTTGACGTTTGGCAGCTTGATGGCAAAAGTGTTACGCCATAAACACCTTCAATCTGCGTCCTGCAGGCACTGCGTGAAAAATAACAGCACAACAGTTGTAAATGTTTCCCAAGTCCAAGTAGGGTTTGGAAGGAGGTGCTTTTGAAGGAAAACAACCCAATTTTTCCAGTTTAGGCAGATGTCCTGCTCTGACACTTGGACTATTCAGTCATTGACAAGAATTATTATCGTTAGAGCATCATCCGATAATCTCTTACAGCCCTTGACACTCTAGTGCGATGTCAGATGACTGATCCGGTGGAGTGACTTGCAGGCGTTTTGAGGAGCATCTCGGCATCCTCTGTGTGCAGCTGGAGGCAGCACCAAAATGTTGCCATTGGTGAGCCAGTAAATATTTCTGAACAGTGAAATGCAGAAGAAAGAGGCCGGGAAGGCGGCGTTTCCCCAGGGACCATCTCGCTGGCTCATTTTTACCCCGGGTCAGCTCAAGGCTGACTCAAGTCCTCTTTCGCAGTCTGGTTTGCTCACATGACTCTCATTAAATGAATGTGTTTAGGCTAAAAATGAGGAGGTTTAGAAAGATGTTTTTTATCTGCATTTATAGATGCCCCAGGTTGTTAGCAGGAAGCTTTTAAATTTAACAGTCCTCTTTGCTTCTTATCTGTCAGAGTGAGCTCGGAAAAGAAGGTGTTGGCCTCTTGTGGGCTTTGGTTTTGGTGTCTGGTGCAGTAGCCCAGCAGTAGCTGGTTTTATTTTGGGGTTATAAATTCCGTGTGACCTTTTTTCCTCCCCCTGTAAATGAACCAAATTAGTTCTGCTGTCTTCACGTGCCCTAGGAGCGTGTTAGGAGACAAGAGGAGAAACCTTAAGGATTGGTTTCACGCTCTGTTTCTCCCAAGAGCACGGCAGTATCAGGTTGGCCATACACACCTGGGGAAGGGCGTT